GTCTACCCTCAGTCATGTGACCCGTCTTGTATATTTTGTATTGCTGTTGCTTCAATAGCAATGGCATGAAATTAAGAGCATTAATTTCCATTTTGATTTTCCTAAGTGCTATACACATTTGCCTGGTGCAGCTGCAGTCCTCTGGTTTTACACTAGACCCTTCAGAAACTGGTTTGGGTAGCTGTTACTTGGGAAAAACCTGCCATCCCAACAATGTTAGTGTTTCAAGAAATATAGGTGTATCTAGCAATCGAGAAGTAACACAGATCAAAAGTGGAAATTGTTTCTCCAGATTTTTAATACTGAGATACCTGATGAGCATATTCATTTATTTATTCATGGACCACTGTTTCTTGCTTGTACCTCTGGCTGACTAAACTAGGAACAGATTCAGTCTTGCCTTGCATAAATGGGATCATAAAGTTAGAATCTATTTTCTATGTCCTCATACGTGTACTGTACAGTTTGTAAATGTTATTTCTGCAAACCTATTTCAATATATATTTGATCACACTATTTTAGTCTTAATGCCAAGTCAGCAGATTTACTTTATGAATTACAGGGACTAGAGATGCCCACATTCAGGAAATCTGCAATAACATTGCCTAGACATTCTTTCTGCTCCACTAGAAAGCCTGTGCATATTGTAAATATGTGTGACTGCTTGATTTGAAAAGTTTCCATTTCTGAACATTGTACCATCCTTGTGTTTATAATTCTAACCATACATTATGTTAATATAACCAAACTCCTCACATTGTTCTATTCCATGCATTTCACACTGATTGTGAGAAATGTGTTCTTAGTAGCTAGTGCCTGATAGTCACAGCACTGGCCCCAGTGTATGCACGTGCATGTGTGTCTGTGCATAAGTGTGTAAGTGGAATGCTGAAGATTAATGAAGAACTAAGAGACTGAAATCTAGAATTCCGCCCTCCTGGCTTTGGACGTAATTGTGCTGTGTGCTGTTTTGCCAACTTGTTGAGCAGTCAGAGAATGCAAGGGAGCCTTCTGCCACAGGTAACGAGGAAGGTTTATCTGCTGTCTCCTTGTTATTGTGTAACTACAGGTGATTTGTACCGTGAGGGTCTCACTGGAAAGGTACAATCTTTGTGTTCAAGTATTTGTTTTAGTAAGAGACGTTTACACGCTTATGGAATTGTTTCCTAACTCCTCCCAGCCCCTTCTCTAACCTTGCCTACTGTTCCTGCTGCGCACCCCCCAGTTACCTGCTGTTCCTCCACATCACCAGCTTGACCAGCTTCCCTGTCTGTAAGAACACAGAAGTGCTTCTTCTAACCAACATTTCTGCTCTTCAGGCGGTACCAGGACAAAATGGGGAGACTTAGAGTGAGTCAAATAATATTTTCCAACATCACGCATCTACTCTGAAGGGAAACCTAGAACACCATCTCCATTCCTCAAATAACTGCTTATGGTGTCACCGTGTCTTGCTTACTCTGACCGCCCCAGGTTCTTGTCCAATATTCTTGGACTTTTAAAAGTTTCACATTTTTAATGATTTTTCCACACTGAGGACAGTAAAATTTAAAAAGCGAGTTATACATAGTGTTTTACAAGCTAATATATGAAAAATTTCTCTTAGAACCAGTTATCTCACTACTGTCTATATGACTACAGAGTATAAAAACAGTCATTAATTTCTGGCAAAATTTTACCTCATCAGAAAACTGTAACCACATTTCAACTAAAATTGCTTTTATATAACATTTTGCATAAACTCTCACCATAAGATGTTGATCATCAGTCCAACCCTTCTCCTCATGTGTTATTTCCCATCTAAATACAACCAGTATGGATCCTCCTTGCTGCTACCATTAACCCCTTTCAACAGGCCGTGCTAAGAGCCAGGGATACAGCTCAGGGGCACAGCGGCCGCCCGGTAGTGCAAGGTCCTGAGTGTGAGTCCCCGTACCAAAAAACAGAACAAAGCAAAGCAGCCACAGACAGTGCTAATAAGAGTCCGTCTTCTTAATTTTGTGCCTGATTCTTAAGTTTCTCACATTACTGCAGACGTGTTAGTGCAAACCAGACTATTCACCAAATAACTCCATGAGGGATTTGATACAGAACATTTACGCCAGCATGTGAAGACTACCAGTGGGTCAGTGTGTAAACAGGACGTAGTGAACCCACAAAAGAAGAAATGACCCCAAGCGTATGTGGAATGACACACAGTCTTCACAGGGCAAAGGCTTACTCTTCAGATACTCCTTTGTAGAAGTGTACTTAATCGTTTGTCAAAACCACTGCAGTTCTTCCTACGTTCTTTCTCTATTTCTCTTTTAACTTGATGTTAGAAAGAGGTGCTGCTAAATGTAGGATGCCTTAGTCATACTGTACTTGGGGACAACATTATGAGAGCCTGGTACGCATTCCTGCTAAAACATTCACTGTCAGCTACAGTGAGCTGTTTAACAAACCTGGTTTCAAGTCACTCACATAAAATGAATAAAGAGCCTTCTGCACTGTTTATTAGTAGTATTAATTCTCAAGGAGTGACCTTTAGATTCAGAATGTGACATATTTCCCAGCACCTATGACTGGTGGTTCATCTCACGTATAACCAGCTGATGTTCCTTCAGTAATCTTCTCATAGCTGACTTTAAAATAAGGAACTCAAGGAAAACAAAAGATTTTTTAAAAATATGAGCTTCAGTAAGCGTGTTCCACCTTATCTGTGCAACAATTATTCATATTTTGAATTTTCATTTTTAAAATGAAGCCCATCCTAGTGACACATTCAGCTCATCCTCTCCCCTCTGTTCTGTGATGTACTGTTACTAGTTTGGGATGCATGATGCCATTAAAGTAGGAGCATACTATTAAACAAAACAGGCAACTACCATGGATTCTGGGCCAGCTTTAATTTCTGCCAAAGTATATTTTTATTTGTACTGCACTTTGCTATTTAAAACGTAACAAGCTGGGCATGGTGGCCCACTGCTGCAATCCCAGCTCTTGGGAGGCGGAGACAGGAGGATCATACGCAAGTTTTGAGACCAACCTGGACTACAATGTGAGCCCAAGGCCAGCATGAACTGCATAGCAAGACCTTGTCTCAAAAAGACAGAAAGAGAGAAAGAAAGAAAGGAAGGAAGGAAGGAAGGAAGGAAGGAAAAGAAAACTAAAATGTAACACAAGGAGTTGAATAAAATGTATTCACTGTTGAATTTAAATATTTTTGCTTTCTTACAAATATTAAAACAATGTAGAGACATACATTAATTCCTCGCATTTACTGGATTTTCCTCTTTAATGCACTTGTTTTTACATTTCTGTGTTCCATGAGTACGTGTTTTATTTTCCAATTTGTTTACTTTTTGTCACCATTTCTGAGCAGGCAACAGATTCTATGGCAGAAAAACTATTTCAAGCTGTAAAAGATGCAAGTGACTACTTGAGTCTCTCACTCTGTCTCAGGCCTGCAAGTATCATTTGATCATAGAGAAGCAGTGTCTACTGTGGTTCTGCTGTTTTAAAAATGGCGATGAAACTCACTGAAAATTGAGCATGTTAAAGAAAAAATTTCAACAAGGTTCTTTTTCTTTTGTTTTAAATGTGCAAACTCTTTCTGTTCGCTATCACTGTTCATATCTGCACATTTGCTGGTACTTACCCAAAATAAACAACGCAAAGTTGCTGCCAGGCTGCTTTCCCACTGTTTTCATCCTCGCCCAGCACGTAAAAGGAAAGAGATTCTGCAGTTTCTTTTAAGACATTTAAATCTGAGGAAGTAGGCTGAGCTCTGAAAACACAAGTGCCCACAGGTAGACAGTTTCTGCTTAGTCAAATGACACTTATTAAGATTTACAGGCAGGATGAAGGATGCAGAGAAACCATCGGAATCTCATGAAGCTCGCAGGAACTTTTCTCTCATGCTATTAAAAATAGAAAACTAAAGCTCTCTGCGTCCAGGATGCTTTCGAAGCATGGTGGTGAGACTCCAGGAGCCTGACTGGTGAACAATGTCTTAAGGGGCATGACAGGAGAAGATACGGGTACCAAAGCTGTAAATAAAGCTCAGAGATTAGTGTACAAGAAAAGCTCTTAAAGGATCTTACATCACGTACAAGACCTTTTGATCTTTTTTTTTTTTTTTTTGTCTTTTTCCTTTTTATCGGTACCAGGGATCGAACTCACAACTGCCTGCTTGCAAGGCAGGTGCTTATGCCGCTGAGCTAAATCCCCAGCCCCGACCTTTTGATCTTTTGGCAACAGTAAGTCATTTGAGAAGTTCTTAAAGAAAACCTATGAGGAAAAGAGGAAATTAAACTAGTATTAGGTAACTGATTCTGACTTTCTACTTCATACATCCAAGGCCCAGTAACTTGGGTGACTTGAATGAAAACCAACAACGTACTCTGAGGTGTTTATAGCCTTTAATCTATAGCTGCACTGGATATTTTAACAGATCTTACCTAAAAAGCAGGTAAAAGGAAAGAACAAGCATGAGGCTACAATTAAGTTTTAAAAACAGACACACTGGCCACCACGGAGGGATGTTTGGTCCCTTTATTGCTTGGATGATGTGCTTGGTTTGTCTGCACTTAGATTTTAATCTCTCATAGTCAGTCATCATAGCTGAGGTTGGCACTGTTGAGAAACGAACACCAAGCCCTGCTGTGAGAGTGCCGGGACAGTTGTGAGTGTCACAGCTGGTTTTCTCATTCTCATTGAGTATTTTCTAGCAACTTGCCTCGGCATTCCAGCACAGGCTCAAAGTACCCAAACATGGAAGATTTTCACTTTTATGTACAACTAAGGACAATATTCAACTTTCTGGTTTCAAGACTATCATTTAGAAGAGGTCCTGACTTCATTTAAAAGAGGGTTAATGTACAATAAAAAGTCAAGTAAAATACTTACCTCAAGTTATTGGCACATGGTAAATATTATATTATACTTTCCAAGCCTTAGTTCTTAAGGAAATAACTACTTAGAAACTTGAGAACACAAAATAATTTTTCATAACCATATTAAATACTAATTTTTAGTATTATTCTTTATTAATTAAAACAAGACCCCAAATGAAAATGTTACAGGCATCCATAAGTAGCTCCTTTGCTTTATACACTTGCTTTATATACACTACTGAATCCTAGAAAACATTTTTTCAATCCAGAACATAATTTCACAACCCCCACCCATACACACAATTCTCTGTCTTGATGAAACCACTGGCAGTCCTGGTGAAACCACCGGCCATCTCCTGTTTCCTTGGCAACCATACTATCCTTAGGTGGCCTGATGTCACTCTGGTTTAAGAGATATGAGGGGAATAGAACAGAAAGCAAGGATGTGGAATTTTCATTTCTGAGGATCCTTCTCTGATGTGCTTTTCCATTTTAGAAATTTTGCAATAAAAAAACCTATACAATCCTTATTTGCCAGCCGGATCATGTCTTCTGCTGTGGCATCTCTAAGAGCATCCTGGTCAGGGTCCTGTAATGGCACAGCAGATGGATCGAATCGCTGCAGCTGTCTCAACTGTTCAAGTGATAAGCCAGCTCCCATCATCCCTTCTTCTCCAATCCGTGGCTCCTATTAGGAGAAAACCAGGTGGATGAATGCTGTCCCTGCCACATGTTAACAATTAAATTAAAAGATAAACTAAAAGCTGGGGGTGGTGGCGCATGACTATAAGCCCAGCACTCTGGAGGCTGAAGCAGGAGAACTACTGTGAGTTCAAGGCCAGCCTGGGCTAGATTGTAAGACCTTGTCTCAAAAATACAAAACAAAAACAAAAAAAGAGACAAACTGAGTTAAACCTATCACATCGTCCAAAACAGAGAACAGTAAATGCTTTTACTTTGCGGAACGTACATGATGCTTTTGAGTGGTAGAACAGAAAAGCGGTACTATGTGTTCACGCAACGAAAGGAAGACCATTTACGTCCTGCATGCTTACCAGGTACTGGGTGACACTGTAAAAGGCCTGAACTCCAGTTAGAAACCCTGAACTGAAACTGCAGCTTCGTCAAATTTTTGCTGTGTGATCTTAAGTAGGTAACTCTATCTAAACCCAACTTTTCAGATCTATAAAACAGATAAAATGCTAAGTTCTGAACTAAAATAGAGAGATGGCATCACGCCTGGGATACACTGAGAATGCAGTAAATGGAACATTATTATCCATAAAGTAACAGATAAAAGTCAGCTTTACTTAGTTCTTTTCACACTTCTGAAAAAAGTTCTTCAAATATCAAAAATGCGTTTCTCTGACCCATCCAATTGGTTTTACATGTCCTTGGAGAACACGTATTAGTAAAGGATCAATAAATTAAGGCTATATCCATTAGCTTTGAGTTATAAGGAATCCAAACAAATTCAGTGGTCCTTGCAAGGCACAAGTACAAAAGATCCATAACTAACTTGAGTCATCACTCACAGCCACACGTTTATGTATTAATAAAGATAGGTTTTCAGATATGTACTTAAGAACACAGATTGACATTTCAGTACGAATTCTAAGTGAATTCTGAAGTCTTCCCTTCATCTAGGGCTTCTGAGTCTAGAAACCATTTCTGGATTACTTATTTCTATGGCTTAAAATTGAATCATAAGTAGTCTTCAGAATCATAAAATTAGATTAGTGCCAAGTACAAGAAAGCTTAAAGCTTAGGTTTTTATATAACAAATTATAAAAAAGCAATAATCCTCAATATTCCCCTTCTCCACAGCCCTTTTTGGTCTTTGGATATTCCAGTTAGTGAAGTATGTTTGGGCTTAGATGTGACCTGAGACAAAAATACTTGATATATATTGTTAGGAGAAAAATATGGGATTAGAAACGAGGAAAAACAACTTTGAAACCCAAATGCCAAGTCCCATGAAAGACAGCTATTAGTAGAATAAACACATAACAAAAATCACCCAAGTTTTGTGTCATTTCAGCATAATGGCAAAACATAAGGGGAAAACAGTCTGTCGCCAACATGCAAAATCGCTGTGGCCATCTAAAAGTGATCTAAAAGGAGAAATGTTCTTGTTTACTAAGGTATTTGTTTCTTAAGTTTTACTTCACATATTTCAGCATGTAATACCCAGCGCCTATCACCACACTTCCACTTCTGTGATTTGTCACTCTGCACAGAGAAAAACTGAAACCACTCTTACCTGGGGCTGAAGCTGGAGGCAAGGAAATGTGCTGAGGGCCCAGGCAACCTGCTCTTCATTTTCTGCCAGGGTGATAGTGCACGTGCTATAAACGAGCATGCCTCCTGGCTTCAGCAGCTGGGCTGCCTAGAGAGAACTAAGTCAGTCCTGTACACCACAAGGCCACGTAAGTGAAGGGACTTTACAGCATAAAGGGTGACACCTACAAGTAGCTGAGAAATAAAACGAAGAACGACATTCTCCATGGTAAGTAAGCAGAGCACAATCCTTGCATCCCAGATCAGCTGCATTTCCCGCCTTAGCGCTCTCGTGCTTCACTTGGACCAGGATTCTCAAACACCAGAGTTTCATCCACTCAGACAGCAACCTTATTTCAAAAATTGGGAAGTTCACATTGCTAGGCCACGCCTTCTTTCTGAATTCCACACTCATATCCAGCTGCCTCCTCAACACTTCATGTCCCAAAATGAGCCGCTGTCTGAAGCGGCTTCCGGAACCTATCGTGGAAGTCTTCCCATCCTTCCAAGGTGGGCAGCGCCAGCCCAGATTCTACTTCACGCCTCTCACACTCGCCACGCGTCCCCAAATCCTGTAGGTTCTCTCCCAGCCTCCACCAGGACTCTGGTGCAGCCCTCCTCATTTCTTAGAGGACTCACACAGTCTCCTACTTAGTTTATTGCTTCCCTCCTGTCTTCTGACCACTTATTCTCAATCCAAAGCCAGAGTGCAGCGCAGCGTCCCACTGGTCACCTCTTAGCCTGACACCCTTCCAGTGCCCTTCCACTGCCACCCAGCGTCAAAGCCAAAAGTCTTTAGAGAGGCTGCAAGTCCTCCGGAGGCCTGCCCGCCGGCTTCCTCTACAGTACCTCGTGTCCTGCTTTAGAGCCACTGGCCTCCGGCTGTCTCTGGAACTCGGCAAGGCTCGCCCCACCTCGGGATCTTTCGCCCGGCTGGAACTCTGGGACACTCCTTCCCCACACTGCGTACTCCTTTCGCAGGTCACCTTTGCTCCATGTCCCCTTACAGCAGCCTTCCTCCTGACCCTGTGTGACATCCCAAATGCTACAGTCCAGCACTGCTACCGCACTTGCCTTGCTTTGGTTCTCTCCGCAGGCTCCTAGCTCAGGGCCTGTCATAATCTGAACAACTCACTCACTTGTTCACTGTCCCCGACAACCCGAGATGGAAAACTCAGAAAACAGGGGTATGAATCGTTTGTCGACTTTTTTACTTCTGTGTTATTGACACCGATCATAGCGTGATGTCTTGCATACAGCAGGCGCTCGGTGTCAAGCAAATAAATCAGCAAATAAAGTGCTAAACTAGCATGAATTTGTCTCAAATACCTATATTTTATTTTTAAAATTTAGCATAAATGTTTGTGGTTTCTTCACACTAGAGAAATTTAAACTTTGTTATTATTTATTTGTATAAATTTGTTTATTAAATACTTTTCATTGATAGTCTTGTAACAACCATGAAGTAAGATTACTATTTGCAGTGCAGTTCCTATTAGGTTGAGTCCTTATGCTCATTTCTCTGAATTTGAAATCAGCATAACTAAAGTCACTTAGGTGAAGAAGCCATGGCTCAAATCAAGATGTGTCCAACTAAATAATGCACATTCCATTTCAATTTGTATTCATCCAGTGGCACACCTGCTATAGTCACGTTGTTTCTCACAGGTCAGATATTCCTTTTTATTGAAATCATAAATCTATCTCTAGAATCTTTTAAAATTTCCTTCTCTGCTATACCCTAAAAAAGAACAAAACCCAAGTCCCTTAAACTGGGATCTTAATTTCACTCTTAAATCCAGGTGGCTTGCAGGTATATGTAAAACTTCCTGTTTGCTGCCTGCTGTTCTAACTCTATGTATTTTCTGACTACTACAGAAAAAATGTTACACAATCCATAAGGAGTGGCTACTTTTGTGAACTTGGAAAGGAGAGATGCATAGAAATGTACCCAAGGACAACTTAAGAGACAAAATAATTACAGTACACCCATTGTTGTGTTCGTCTACGTATTTATAATTGAATGGCTAAGAAGAAATAATGAATTCATCTTTGATCAAAGGGTGTCTATACTCAGTGAAATCACAGAAATAGAGTGTTTTATCTGGGTTTTTTCTAACACACACTGGAAATCAGTTAATTGTCAAAGTTTTTATGGCCCTTTTACTGGATGCTGCTATTCACTACTGTAATCTTTTGCATCTCATTGACTTTCTACATTTAATGTCATCAGCTGACTCAGGAGCCCAATAAAAAACAATTCATTTTGCATCAATTCTTTATGTCAATTACTAACTGTGTGAACCATTCACTTTTTAAAAAACACAGACCACAATGTTTGAAATTCATTACATAATTCAGGAAGAAATTTCACCATCGTCTTGTATTTGAAAGGATACACTACTGGGTTCCACATACCTATAAGCCCATCACTCTGGGAGGCTGAGTTAGGAGATATGCAAATGCAAACCCAGCCTGCACAACTTAAGTAACTTAATGAGATCCTGTCTCAAAGTTACAAATTTACACAGTGCTGGGATGGAGCTCAGTGCAAAGGCCCTAGGTTTAAGCCTTAGTACTAAAAAGTAAGTAAAATACAAAAAGGGTGAGTTGACACAAAGGAAAACTCTCTGTATTTAAATTAGGCATTCTCAGTCTTTTGTGTGAAATAAAATATACATAACATAAAACATCATGTTAACCATTTTAAGTGTGTAATTCAAAAGGCATTAAGTGCATTGTGCAGCTATCACTTCTACATGTCTCCAGAACTGTTCGTCATCTCTAACAGAAACTCACCTCAGACAGAAACTCTGTAACCACACCAGGAACCCCCTAATCTCCATTCCCCATCCCTTACTCGCTAGTGACCTCTAGCTTACTTCCTATGAATTTGTCATTCTAGGGGCCTTATATAAGTGGAATCATAAAACATTTTTCCTTTTATGTCTGGCTTAGTTGATGCTTCAACGTTCATCCACATTAGAGCCTATGTCAGAATTTCACCTCTTTTTAAGGGTGAATAATCTTCCATGTATGGATATGTTTATTCATTTCTCTGTTAATGTATTTGCGGGTTGTTTCCACCTTTTGGCTACTGTGAATAACACTACTCTGAACACTGCCCCCAGTGGCTTAAACTTCAAACTACCCAAGGTCAACATCCTTCACAGCAAAAGATCATCACATACCACAGAAAAGAGTTTTCGCTGTAGTGGCTGATATGACATCACTTCCTTCAAAGTCCAAGTACAAGCCATGTTTGGTCTCTGTCCCATTCCACTGCAGGGTGCATCAAGGAGAATTCGGTCAAAAGATTCTGGTGAGAATGGAGGTCCTTCTATACAGCGAATATAAAAATATTTGCTAATTGTCATATTGGTCTAGAACAGAAAACTCCAGATATAAGCAACAACCAGGATCTTAATGCTGTGGTTTAGGAGACCGTGTCTCAAACTCCATAGTAATAAAAAGGCTGTGGCTCTAATTCAGTGTGAAGGTTCTGGGTTCAATTCCCAGTACTACCAAAAGCAAAACAAACAAACAAACAAACAAACAAAACAAAAACAAAAACAAAACAAAACAATAGATCAAAGTATTGCTTTGGATAAAAAATAATGATTCCCTTGAGGCAGCCAGTAAAGCTAAGATTGACTTATGTTTAATATAGATTTGAGTTTGAACAAAAGTTTAAAAATGTGGAATTTGCTTGTTTGTTTTGAGACAAGGTCTTGCTATATAGCTCTGACTGGCCTTGACTCACTATGTAGCCCAGGCTGGCCTTAAACTCACAGCAATCCTCAGGAGTCAACCTGCTGAGTGCTGGGATTACAGGCATGTGCCACCATGCCATCCATAAAAGTGTGGGTATTACTGTTGGGTTTTTCCTTAATATAGTATAAACCTAGATGCAATCAAATGAGATCCTACACTCCCTACTTTAGAAACCATAGTTCATCAGAGCTAAGACTCAGAATTAATTCTAGTTATTTTAGGAATTGATTTCTCTTGGTAACTCCTACTGGGGACAGCTCCAGAAAATGAGTCTGTCAGGTAGTGGCTCTCACTCTATTGTTCCTTGGTCTCCTTGTTGCTGTCAGTATCACCCTGGTTGTGGACCACAGTGAGCCTGGATTCAGTCCTCCACAGAGCACCCTGTGCATTCACTGGAATAATTTTTGCAATTATTCTAATTGCAAATTAGTCTAATTCCTGATCTGGAGAACTCATGAAACAAAATGGTCTGTACATATCTTTATATGATCCTTACAAGTAAGACATTTTTATTTAAAGTTACTTGTTCCTATAGAACCTACAGCATCATTTCAAATTTCACCCTAATGTCATCTGTTTTTTTCTGATTTCAAAGCTATTAGATAAAAGCAATTATCTACCTCATCTCCCTCTGTAACCATCTTTGCTCTCTTATCTATTATTTTTGAAGAAATTCCTAAGAAATTATTTTTTGGACATATACTGGTAAAACCCACTAGAAATGCTACATCAATCTACCCTTAAATTTTATGTATACTTGTTTCTCCCAGTCTTCATTAAACGTGGTTTTGATTTATTGGTCATTTGTATTTTTGTCTGTATTTGGGCATATCCTCTGTCTGCCCTATTTGAGACTTATTATAAGAAAAGACACATCAAAGAGGGTAGGAGAAACACTTTTACATCACTTACATCACTTCTCCTTCAACCCCAGGCAACACAGAATAGAGAAAAATCCTCTGCTTGGGGGAAGGAAAGCAAAGTCATCAAGAGCATATTCTATTACCAGCCCCATCCTCATCAAACCAAGTACCAGGCAGCCATAGCCCCACCTTCCAGGCCAGTCTAAGTAGCCCCAGACCCTCAGCTTGCTCCCGCAGAGCAACAGGAACACCCTGAGCATCCAGGTTCTAGGCTGGCTGTGTGCAGCCAGGACCTAAGTCAAACCTTATGGACCTAGCCACCAGGCCAGTACCTGACTCTAAGCCAGACTCTAAGCCAGACTTTACGGGTATTTTTAGACCAGGAATATGTACCTAGACTCTAAGCCAGACTTTGTGGATTTTTTTAAAACCAGGAATCAAACAGACTTTGTGGATTCTGACTCCTGGTTAGTACCTTTAGCACCAGACTCTAGCTTAGTCACTATGGTTTCAGGTACAAGAGGAGCACTTATGATTGCAGATGTCAGACTGATCCCCACAAATCCAGAGTCTATGTCTGTTCCTGTTCCAAGTTCACTTTAGTGGGCCCAGGTTCCAGGCCTGTTCCAGTGGACAAAAAATCGAGTCCTGCCCTATTAACCTCTGATGCTAGGGAGGACCCCACACACTGAGGCTCTAGGATAGTGATGGTGAACTTTATAGAAATCAAGTGTCCAAGCTGCAACCCAAAAATCAAATATTTGTGGCAAAGTCCCAACACTGCAATTAAACCCAAACACTGATGTTTCAGTTTAGAAAAAACACCTTATACACTTGGGTCGCACACTGAGAGAGGGTTCTGCATGCCTGCTATGGAACGCATGCCATAAGTTCCCCGTCAGTACTCTTGGACCACCAATGTCACTTGCAACTTCAGGCCAACCGTAGGGACCTGCCCAATGCCCTGACTAAAGCTGCAGGCCCAACCTACTGACAGATTAGCCCCATGTGGACTCAGGAACCAAGACTATTTTAGCCCCAGGCAATAGCCTGTACTCAAGCTCAGTCATCTAGTTCTACATCGTCTTCAGGGAAGCTTGTGTTGTTGTAGGTCCTAGAACAACTGCTGCACGACTGACCTGAAGGTCCACCACCGTGGGTCCAGTTTTTACATGGGCTCACCCAAGGTATCAGATCACCCTGTCCAGTGACTCCAGCAGCAAAACAGCTCACAGACAGTGTGATTTGAGTTTCTCAAAATGGACAGATGAGCTGGAAGGCTCATTCCTACATAAAGCCAGTTTGCAAAGACTGTAAATCCCTGCTTCTTGAAATATGCAAACACAAATCCATAGCCAGAAGGATTAAGAACAAACAGAGAAACATGGCACCAACAAAGGAACAAAGCAAAAAGTACCAGGAACTCACAACTCAAGGAATGCCTATCTATGAATTACTAGACAAAAAATTCAAACGATACCACAGAAGCAAAAGATTATAAAAAACTACTACGAACAATTATACAACAATGGACTCGGTAACCCAGAAGAAACAGATTCCTAGATGAAACCACTACCAAGACTGAATCGTGAAGAAACCAAGGATCTAAATAAATAGACTCAATCTATAAAGAAAAACCTATGACTTGATTCCTTCACTAGTGGATGCTACTAATCGTTTATAGAGAAAAACTAATACCAGTCATTCTGAAACTCTTCCAGAAAGCTGAAGAAGGAATTCTTCCAAATTTATTTTATGAGGCCAGCATTACCCCAATACAAAAGCCAGAATAGAAGAAAATTACTTCAATATCCTTCATAAACACAAAATCCTCAACAAAATAATCAAAAATTGAAAATATTCAAATATTCAAAAATATTCAAAATCCTCAACAAAATATTCAAAAATTGAATCTAGAACATGACCAAATGACATTTACTCCAGGGATGCAAGCACAGTTCCTATATACATCAGCAAAATAAATGTGACGTACTGCATTAACAGAGCAAAGGGCAAAAACAATTTGATTATCTCAATAGGGGCAGGAAAAGCACTGGATAAAACTCAAAGCCTTTTCATGATAAAAGTTTCAGCAAATAAGCTATACAAGAAATATATCTGAGCACAGGAAGGCTGTAACAAGCCCATAGCATTAATAATAACAAAATGAATGGTAAAAACTTCAAAGCTTCTCTCTGAGATAGAGGGTAAACCAAGATGTCTACTCTCACTGCTTTTCAACACAGTACTGTAAGTACTAGAATGTTTAGGTGAGAGAAAGAAATGAAACCATCTGTCTGTTACTGACATGATCTTGTGTAGGAAAAAAACTTAAAAATTCCATGGGAAAATTATTAGGCCTAATAAAAAATTTTAGTAAAGTTTCTAGATATAAAATTAACATACAAAAATCAGCAGTGTTTCCACACATTAATATTTTCCACAAATATTAAGAAAATAATCTCATCTACAACACCAACCAAAAGAATGGTGCTAGAAAAACTGAGTATCTGCCTGTGGAAAATGAAGCAATCATTATCTCATGCCTTATATAAAAATAAACTCAAAATGGATTAAAGACCTGGAAAATGTAAAATACTATAGTAAGGAAAAAACACAGAGAAGGTTCACAGCACTACTCTAGACAATTATTTTTTAATATGACCCTGAAATTACAGCCAACAAAAGTAAAACTGATATTATGTCAAACTAAAAAGCTTCTGCACAGCAAAGTTGACTACACAGTGGGAAGAAGTATTTTCAAAGTATACATCCAACAGGAGGCTACTACTCAAAACACTTAAAAAAATCAAATAACTGGAAAATAAGAAGACAATCCAATTAAAACATGGGAAAAGGACAAGAATATTTCCTCCAAAGAAGACAGTGACAAGTACAGTACATCAAAAGATGCTCATCACTAATTATGGAAATGCTAATCAAAACCATCACAGGATAACATGTTATGCATGATAAGATGGCTAAAAAACAACATAATGGTGACAGCTCAAGTGTTACTAGGATGCAAATTAGTTATATCATCATGGAAAATGGTATGGTTCCCCAAAAAACTAATAATAAACTGACCATATAAGCCACCAGTGGGAATATATGCACAGAAATTAAAATCAGTATGCCAAAGAAATACCTGCATCCCCATGGTCCTTACAGCATTATTCACAATAGCCAAGATATGAAGTCAACTCAACTATCCGGCATAGAAGAATGGTGTACACACACACACACACACACACACACACGTAGCCTTTTCGAAAGGATATTATGTTATTTGTGACAATATGGATGAATCTGGAGTTCCTTATGCTGAGTAAAATAAAGCAGCAACCAAAAACAAACAAATAGATAAACACTGTATGATCCCAGTTATATGCAGAATCTAAAACAGTCAACCTGACAGAAGCAGAGAGCAGCACAGGGTTACTAGAGATGGGGAGAACAGGCCAGGCATAGGGAGGTGCTGTCCAAAAGGTAGAGGTTTCCTGCTAGACAGGAAAAAACAAATTGCTGAAATCTGCTACATAGCATGGCAACTTCAGTTAATGGGAATTATGTATTTGAAGACTGCTTAGCAAAAATTTCAAATACCACAAAAAACAAATAATGGATGTGTTAATCAGCTTGTTTTGATCATGCCATGTTTATACATACTGTGTATCAAAACACTGCAGGGTAATCCACAAATACACACAATGATGATTTGTCAGTTACACTAAATAAAAAAATAAAATTTAATTTACCTTGTGTGTCCTCAGTCATATCATGTTTATGTGCCTTTGTTCCATCAAAGCAAAATGCTTTGATGGAATTCAGTCCTAACAACAAAGCATTCTGCTTTATTTTTTCCACTTTGTTGGGTATTTTATCCAGTGCTATTACTTCTCCCTAAAGAAAATAAAATTCACAAAACAAAGCATAAATCCAAAGCAGCGACGAAAATACAAAATTAGCTTGTGAAAAAATATGGTCCCATTTGTACTTTTAACACTGTATTCTTTAACAAACACACGGCAAATTTACACCAAATACTGAGGTCTTTCTTTTAAAAAGATACTCTTATCGGATAATTAATCTTATAACTATCTACTTTTAAACAAGGAATCAAAACTTCAAAGTGCTTGCAACTTACTCAAACTTAAAAAGCGCTTGTAGTAGAATAAAAACTGGTGGTCAGCATAAAAGGATAATATATGTACACATACATATGAGGAACAAAAGCAAGAAAAAAGGAATCAATCCACATCTTATTTCATAATATTGTATCGTTGTATGTTTAAAATATCACATGACTGTCAACAATGCATGCCTGTATGGTGGTGGTGCTTTGGATTTATGCTTTGTTTTGTAAATTTTATTTTCTTTAGGGAGAAGTAATAGCACTGGATAAAATACTCAACAAAGTGGAAAAAATAAAAGTTGCCAGCATAAAAGGATGTGGAGACAAACACCATGGCACTGTGGGTTCTCCTAAGTGGTGTTGTTTGGAGCTATTGGTTGTCTTAGAGGAGCTGCTCATGGCCAGCTTCCCTGATACAAATTTGGCCATTACCATTGGAGGAGCTCAGGACCTTGTCGTTAAGAGTGGCTGCGGTTCACTTTGGGAGAACTCTGGTCCTTATGTTAACATCACTTCCTGACTACAGAGGGGAAGAAGAGCGCTGTTTAATCTCTAGAAGTTTGTCACACTGGCATCCTGATATGAATTCAGACCTTACTGGGGCTGAGGATGGCTGTGGTACTTTTGGTGGGGGAGCCCTGGTCTGTACTTTGAGCGTTGCTTCTTGGCTCCAGTGTAGAACCCTCAATCCACTGGCACAGATTCTTCACTCCACTGGCATAGATATTTTATCCTCTACCACTGACCTTTGGGCCTTACCAGTGCAGATCCATAAAACAGACTTACGGGAGTCACTGTTATGGACTCTATAGACCTCCGTGGGACTCGTGAGAGGCACTGCCATGGGCTCTAGGGCTTCAGCTGGACTCACACAGGGTACTGCTATAGGATTCAGGCCCTAAGCTGGACTCCTTGGGTCTCAATGTGTGGACAGATTTCCTGCACTTCTTGTATTTGACCATCTAGGTGACCATCATAAAATAATACTATCAATGATGTGTACTCAGTGTCTTGTTCTCCCTTCAGCCCCTAACTACAACACCACCCACTGAAAGCAAACATTAAAATCACTTATTTGATGTGATTGTTCACCTACAGAAGTGCATGAACTAATGCTATGAGACATCTGAGCTAAAATGCCTTTATAGGTAAATGAATGCCACTTACAAAATCAGCCCTCTATAATATTTTGAGCTATTCACATAAAATTTCTGTGAGTTCTAGCAATTAAAGCCAGAAAATCAGAAGCCAAAAAGCTCTGTATCACAGCAAAACAACCTGGAACAGTATTAAAAATATTTCAAAAATCCTCATATATGGTAACACATCAGTTAAGTCAAAGTCAATAAAAATGAGAGACCACCACCATATAGGCATGCATTGTTGACATTCACGTGATATTTTAAACATACAACGATACAATATTATGAAATAAGATGGTGGGTTGATTCCTTTTTTCTTGCTTTTGTTGCTCGTAGGTATGTGTACACATATATCATCCTTATATGATATGTACATCAAATTCTCTGCTTCACAAGAGAAAGAAATTTATAGTATAGACAACAATAAAGAATATTTGCTGATAATGCTCCCACACTGTGACAGACACTTACTGGGGCTCAGCCTTGTCATTTGCTTGGCCCTGGGGGCCATGGTAAATGTGGTGAAGCAGAGTGCTCAACTCTGCTCTCTGCCATCACCAGGCCCCAGCTACTACCCTTAGTGGGCTCACTCTCTTGTCTTTGCAGAAAAAGTACAGACCAGAAAGGCAGGGCAGCACCACAGCTGTCTCACCTGAAGTCACTTTAGAGAACTGAAAGCCATACAAACTGAAAGCCATACAAGTGAATGACTCAACCCTAAATTACCAGAACCCCCTAACCAAGCTGGAGCTGACCAGGAGCCCCGAAGGTATCAGCTGAATCATGCAGACTCCTGAGCCCAACAATCACTTATGTGTATGCTACTAAGTTTATATTTTTTTACATTGCATTTTAAAGTCAATTAACTAGTTGAAAACACCTCTTACTAGAGAGAATAAAAGGACTTCAAGGAACTACACCATACGGGGCATTACTATCACTATCTCAAAGCATATCACAATCTACATTTAAGCTTCCATATAGATTAAAAAAAGGATTTGTATTAAACACAACTCCATAAAATGAACCTTTGTATTTCATTTTATGCACTACAAGCATTTAAAGCATTTTTCCATCAAGGTTTTCCTGCTACTAAATTCTTGAAGTATATTTTTTCTGTATTTCTTCTATGTAATATCATGCATATTGATTCCTCAAAATTTCAACAGGTATCTTTTTCTATTGGAGAGATTCCTTAAAACTGAAGCTACTTGTTGAGGTTGTATCAGGGACACCGCAAATTCTATGTATAGTGAATATATATAGTACATATATACATAGTGAATGTGTGTGTAATGCAAAGATAGTACTCCTGGGCCTTCAATTTACTTACTTAAAATATGAATCTTTAAATAAATAAATATATATATATATATATATATAAAACATAATATATAGATATGTAAAAATATATAATGTATAGACATATAAATATATATAAATAATATATATATTTTATCCCCTTTGCTTATAATACTGTATTTTCAGAAATTCTAACAGAGTTAAAGTTACACACTAAAGTGTAATGGGAATTTTCATCAAAATTCTTTGGATAATTAATATACTAATGGAGTATAGCTCAGTGGCATGGCACCTGCGGGGTAAGTACAAGGTCTTGAGTTCAGTTCTTGGTTCAAAAAAAAAATTAATATATTAATAAAAGGAAATATATAGCTTCAACCTAATGGTAGATATTTCTACTTTTTTCAATGAACTATTGCTTGCAAGTCCCTTGAGACTCTTAAGAATTATCAAATGTAGATGAAAAATGAGTTTATCACTTTGGAGAGTGAGAGTATCTTCTATCAAGTAAATCAGCTAGAGCAAAGGGGCTTTTGTAAGTCTGACGTAGGTAAGTTTTTTACGTCAGTTACATACTTTCTTATATATACACTAGTACTACAATCATAACATCTTTTTCGACCATTCCTCAGACAGTTTCCAGGTAATCAGACTCTTCTGTTTCCCTCCTACACTGCCAGCCATTCCTTATATCTCCAACTTATGAATGCTGGTATTCACTATTCACATGGCTCACTGTTCGGAACCTTTCTATTCTCCATCAGCCTGTCCGTATGTTGATGGTTCCCAAATTTTTATGTGCAAAGCAGACCTCTCCCCTAGACTCTGGTCTCACATTTTACTGCCTGCTCATCTCAGACTGAACCCAGAGCCAAGCACACGCTAGGTAAGTACACTACCACTGAGCCACACTCTCAACCCTCCAATGATTTCTGAACATAGATAAATCCAGCCTATAAAAAAAAAGGAAACAACTCAGCAAATACACACGCAAACAAAGTAAAACTGAAATCAAAGTTATCAAAAGCCAGGCTTACTTAAATTCTGTGCTCATGAAACAGGCTTTAAAATTAAACCAGATCATACAGTTTATAAGATCCTTAAGACACACCTGTGTATATATTAGCTCCATATGTGTATAATTACCTAGGCTACCTATGGAGTTCAAAACCAGCCTGAACTACAGAAGACGCTGTATAAAAACAAACAAACAAACAAAAAAGAAGTGTCAGGACAGTCTTAATAAGTGGCAATTATCTTTTCTTTTTTTTTTTTTTTTTTTTTTTTTTTGTAACAAGGTCTCACTGTGTAGGCTGGTTTAGCCTTTGAGTTTGTACCAGTCTGGCCTTGAATTCACAGTCATCCACTTGCTTCAGCCTCCTGAGTCTGCGATTACAGCAGTGTGCCACCATACCCAGGTATAAACGGCAGCTGTCTACTGACCTTAAGCTACAGTGCCTGCCATAACCCAACAGTCCTCACTCTGGCTGAACAGGAAGTAAATTGGATTACGGTATCAGTGTGATCCCAAGTCACACACAGTCCCACCTTCACCACTGAAATCTATAGCATGTTGACGACTTTTCTTGGGAGACAGACTCACCTGATCGTGCATCAGTGCTGCAATATGTGTTGCTTTACCTCCAGGTGCTGCACACAAATCTAGAACCCTCTCTCCGGGCTGAGGATGTAGAACGTGAGCTACTACAGCAGATGGTAAATTCTATAAGAAAAATGATGCAAGTACTGTTCAATGACTCTAATCAATTCTAATTTCAGAATGAGAGAGTGTAAAGGAAACTTTCGAGATAATTCAGCACAGTATCCTCAAATTTGGTAACAACAGTTTTTACAAACATACTAAGTCAAGAAAGTTGCAGTTTCCTAGAGTATACTATGATCTCATGAGAATTGCATAACATATCCATACAGGAAAACAGGGTCCAGGGGTTTAGCTCAGCTGCCTAAGTGCCTGCCTGGCAAGCACGAGATCCTGAGTTTGATGACCAATAACAAAAAGAAAAAAGAAAGAAAACACAGGACACATTTTCTACTCCATTCATTCAATTGTCAATTGATGGCAGTTTTCTACAAATAAATTGCTATCATCCTCTAAAGTAGTTCTCAATCCTGGATACACAATAAAGTCACTTGGTGAGCTTAGGAAAAAATCTGGTCCCCATACAGAAAAGTTAGATGAGGATTTCCAACGATGGGGTTGATAGTGGTGCTTCAAAAATCTTCCCCAGCGATTCTAACATGCATCTAGCTGTGCAGTAACGCTAGCCAGTGCATCTCCAACTTAGCTATAAAACCACCCAGTGAAGCTTCTCAGTGTTCCAACTCAGGCCTGAACCAGGAATAACTGAAACACTTCAGATGCTAGGGCCCAGATAGCAGAATTTATTTACTGCTCCCTGGTGGTCCACCTTTCTCTGACCCCTTAATCAAATGTTTGCAAGAAAACAGGCAGTCAGAGTTCAGTTTGAGGCATTATTTTTCTTTCCTCCAGTTAAACTAGAATATGATGACAGAGTATGTGTTCAGCCAGAAATAACCTATACATCTGAGAAACTGGATTGTAAGAAAAAGTTCTAAGAACAGTCATGGTATAAATTTCTGGACTTTGTGGTTCCTGCACTTCTTGGAAGAGCAAATCATGCCCCTTGCAAATTACCCCTCTGATTCCTGTTACACCTGCTGTTCCCAGTCACATCCTTAGGGCACTGGGCCCTGGTAACGTTGTGGTGACCCTTTGACCAGGTGGTCTCATTTACTTGTATTTTCTATTGGGGCTTTTGACTGCACTGAGAGATTTAGGTTGCTGTGCTGGTTCCAACCAGGTGCACAAACTCCTCCTCCAGACAAGAGGGTGGAGATCCACAACTGATGGAAAGGAAGCTGCATTAATTACCACATCCTAGCCACTGCCCAAATTCTACACAGAACCAGAAAACCTGACCCGGCCTCACTGTCCTCGACATATCTGGGCAGTGCCCATTCTCGGTCTTTGAGGGTGTATTTGTTACCTGACCTGTAACACTGAGCCTGCAGAGTGCACTGTACTGTGTCTGAGTAAACACGCTTGCTACAAACTACTCCCTTTTGACTGTGTCTCATTTTGTGCACTCCCTGCCCACCTCAGGGAGGACTCAAGAGCCCACCCACCACAGGAATGAAAGCACTCCAGAGTAATTACAGTGACCAAACAAGAGCTATGAATTCTTCAAGGTGTAACTTCCTTTTCACAAGTTCACTGGTAACTGAACATTCAAGAAACTCATCAGTTTTCGGAAGCTAGAGGCCAGGTCAGGCAGCCAGGGGAAAGGAAGAGATAGGGAGGGAGGAAAAGGAATTATCAGTGTTATGTATGTGTACCAACTCCACACAAGGAATGCAAACACTGCAAACAGGTAGTAATGAAAAGTAAAGTATGCATGCAAACACCGAATTTAAAAAACAATAGCACAGATTACTAGAGAATGTCATCTTGCATGAAGATGCAGTTTATGATTAAACTTTTTAAAATAAATTTTAAAAACACTTTGAAAACCCCAAGGACAGCTGAGCTTGCTAACACATGCTTGTAACCCCAACACTCTGGAAGCCTGAGGCAGGAGGATCTAAAAGTTCACGTCCCGCAGAGGCAAACGGTAACTTAGCAAGACCCTGTCTCAAAATATAAAAGGGAAGGCAGGTGTGTTTGCACACACCTGGAATCCAAGTACTTGAGAGGCTGAGGCAAGAGGATCAGCCAAGTTCAACAACAGCCTGGGTTCCATAGTGAATTCAAGGCCAGCATGAACTACAAAGCAAGACCTTGTCTCCAAAAACCAAGTAACAATAAAATAAAAACAATCGAGATAAAGGAAAGTAAAAAAGGGCTGGGGATATAGCTCCATGCAAAGGTCCAGTGGTCCATCTCTGTTAGTTGGGTTGGGTGTGGTTAGATGGGACAGGGTAGAACAGAATCAAAGTAAAATACCATCACAGATTTTTCTACTGGCCAGATTTTACACAGCAAACAGGAAAGAAAGCAGCAAACGAGAATATCACTTTGACTTCAGTTGCAACTTCTGTCCCAAGGAACCAAGTGTTTCAATGTATGCACAGCCCCACTTCCTCTGCAGCTCTTCAGTGAGCTGGGGTAGGGGTAATTTTCCTTCTTAATGACAAAATCCAGAAGCACAGGAGTTAAATGGCTGTTCCAGGAACATTAGGAGCAAAACTACGAAAAGGAAACGGTCTCTAGTCTGGAGGTCTCTACCGTGCCAACAGCTGAGTTTTGAGGCCTAGGGTGAGGGAAGGCCTTATTGCTACTAGCAGCTGGATCAACAGCCCTAGTTTTCTTATTTGTATGGGAGATAAACCCATCAACTCTCTGGGGAATGTGGAGTGGTGAAAGCCAGGGAATCCTTCTTCACTGGCTCTGTTGGTAACACACATTTGCACAGCCTGGCAGTCCCCAGTGTTTACGTGTTTCCAGCAAAATCTGTTCTGTTAAAGACTACTGGATCGTTTTAAAATCAGAGGGTACTGGAAAGTATATCAGTTAAGAATATTTTTAACTTGAAATTTGTCTTAAAAACTACCAATTATTTCGTATTGTTCCATCTCCAATAGGAAGCAGGTAAAAGTAGTAAGTCTAAGCTATGTACAGGGCTCATCAAGCTAGTATCATACTAATAAACACTCACTGCCAAAATACACCACCTCTATACAAATCCTACTGTTTTTAAAATTCAGAACCAGAAAAGTAGACAGATGGTTTTATTCACTTACTCCTTTAAAGAATGCCTGCTATTGCACACACCAGACACCAGCCTGTGCACTACAGTTAAAAAGAGCTTGCCCCTTCCAGGAAGGAAGTAGAGATTTCATCTCCTGGCCTGCACTCCTGTCCTTTTTATTATAAATACTGTAACATGATATCTTCTTGTACATACCATAAGTTACAAGAAATTAAATCCCAAAAGTAGCACAAAGCCCTTACAACTTAAAAGCATCAGACCTGTTGACACTTAACAATTGATAAGTGACAGGTGAGACAAAAATTCCTTAATTACAAAGCCATGATATGTAGCGTTTTTATACTTTAAGGATCTAAGTGTACATAATGTACATTTATATAAATTAGCAGTCTTAGATCATGTAACAGATGAATGAACATAACAGTTAAGTTTTTACTTTTTGCTCTGTAGAAATAGTGTTTACTTTTAAATATATTTCCACTGATTCAGTATTCAAAGTGTGGTCCGCAAACCAAGGAGATCCAAAATCCTGGGAACTTGTCAGAAATATAACATTTCACAATTCACCCAGACATACAGTCAGAATCTGCATTTTAACAAACTTTACTAGATTTGTATTACATTTTCACAAAACAGTTTAGGAATATTGTTGTATATGATATGGATTAAAACTAAATTGAGAATAAGCCAAAGCTGGAACACTTTGAGCATTTAATATTTATAAAGACAATAATGAATTATAGACTATGTAAAAATAAAAATTTGTCAGTACATACTATTAGAAAATAATAGGGTGTGAGGGACCTCGTATTAAAATGTTGGCTGTTAAATATAGAGGTGTTACGGCTTATATCTAGATGTCTTCCTCAATCTCATGTGAACCTAGCAGAGAGCATTTTGGAGGCGGCTGAATGTAGGATGTGTGCTGCTGGGATCAAGAATGTGGTGTTGGGATTGATTCAGGTTGCAATGCTAGGATTGAGGTTGGGCAGCCTGGACAGGATATAAAAGACAGGACTGCTGTGGTCACTTGCCGCTTGCTGCTTCTGCCTGCCATGAACCGTTTTTCCTCTGCAATGCACCTCTGCAAAGTCACCCTGCCTTGGAGTTGGTCGATTATGAATTGAAACCTCTACAAACTGAGCTAAAATAAACCTTTCCTCCTTTAACTTTGGGTGTCAGGTATTTTGTCTCAGCAACAAGAAAACTAAGACAGAATTGTAGGCTGAAGTGGGAAAAGACATCTTGTAGTCATGACTAGCTCAGGCAATAATTATAGGTGGATGCTAAATCTCAGAGGAAATTTTAATGAGCAGTGTATTCAGATAATTTTTAGTCTCCCCACAGACTATTAGTTGCACAGGGAAAAAAAGTGATTTTATGTTTTTATGAAAAATGAGATGTTAAAAAGGTGACCAAAATGAACAAGGCCAATGAGAAACACACAGATGTGATGCAGACGTGATGCCCTCAGTCTAATACATCTGTGAACTTTTGTGCGACACATGACAGACAGCCTACAGCATCAATAAGTAAGGGAAAGAAAAGCAAAATAAGAAAGCTAAGGATTCTGCCTACTTCTTATATAATGGAATTCCAATTTTAAAAAAGCACAGTCTATTGCAATAGTGGAAGCACATCAGGGAAAATGTTATTTCCCAAAGTACAACAATGAGACAACTGAAGACAAACTGAAAACAGAAAAGCCAAATAAGAAATAAAAGTTGACTATAGACAAGTGAGAATTTGCTACAATTAAGGGAATAAAGTTTAAATTGTGTAAAGCTTGAAGTTTAGTGTAAATCCAATGCATGATATTAAACAATTGTTGGTTACTATTTGGGGAAATCTAAAGGTTATTTCCTTTTAGAGTGGTTCACAAACTTGGATTTAATCACATTACATTTATGAAGTTCAAAATATACAAACAAATGAAAAGCCGATTTCCAGCATCCATCTCAGACCTAGTGAAGCTAAATTTCCAGGGAACCCCCCATTGCCCAGCTATGGCAAGGCACTTCATCTCCGTGGCAGATCAGAGTCGTTCATGCCGCCAGGGAATCTGCTCCTGTTTTGCAGCCCTTCCCAGGGTTATGTGTGGGGCACTGACATCAGTCAGGAACACATGCTCCAGGGCAGAAAGATCTAGGTTCACATTTTGACTTTGCTGATTTCTACGGATGTGGTATTCAACAAACCACTCGTTTATCACTTGAAAAATACTAACTGCCTACTGTGTGCTACGCACTTCATTTCTTTAAGCCCCAATTTCCTTATCAGTGAGAGTAGAAGTCTGTGGGGAGGGCATGAAATAGTGAGTGTAAAACACACTAAGTGTTAGCTACTACTGCCATTATCATCTTTAGTAAGTTTCATTGGTCAGCGACTGGACATCTGGATAGATTACATAAACAGTTCCTGCAAAAGAAGTGACAAAAGTGAAGCTCCACTCTCGAATACAAAAGCTTTACTCCAACGGTAAAGTCTTATGTCTTTTTTATAGAGTGGCAAAGAATACTACTATTATTATTAATTTTGGGGGCCTTTTTGTAAGGCAAGATTTCACTACATAGTTCAGGCTGGCCTTGAACTCACTTTGTAGACCAAGCTGGACTTGAATTTCGGCAGTCCTCCTGCTGCAGACTCCTAAGTGCTCGGGTTATACGTATGCATTGCCATGTTGCCTGGCTGCGAAGTACATTAGTATATTATTAGTCACAGTATGTCTCACACTGTGTACTTCATGAGGTCCTCATTAAGCTGATTCTAAAATGAAGGGCTGTGCTGATCTTACTATAGGTTGCAGGGTATCTAAAGAAAAAAAATTGCACAGTACTATATTTTTTATTTTCCAAACTAAATATAGAATAATCAGATATATGGTGTTTTATTTTGCAACAGGGAAAAATAATATTGCAATCACTGTTTCTAGTGAGCAGTATAGAGATCGCTAGCAATGATTCAGGCTATGTCATCACATGATCACAAGTGCTTAAGAACAGATTATATAACAAGTAAAAAGCTAATGCTAAGCAAACAACACACCAAAGATGAGTCCTAAGAAATTATGTATTTGGTTATATCACTAATCATACAATTAGGTGACAATACATAGAGTATTTTCCATTTTTCACCTCAGAAAGAATCTCTACTTGTAAAATCTCTTTAGGTTTAATTCTGGAGAAGAAAGCACATGCACCTGGTCTGTGCTGAGACTACCAATTCCTAGCAATATGTCTGAGGCAGGAGGTAAAAAGAAGTCAGGGCATAGAACATGAAGACTTAAAGTCAGGGCTTACGTGAGCTGATAACCCAAGGGCTCAAACTTACCTGAACTGGGAGGGCCTAATGCAATACAAAGGGCAGAGCAAATGTAACTAATCACACTACAAGGAGCCTTAGAAGGCTGAACAGACAAGACAGCCTGCTTCCTGGGCATCAAAGGGCTGGCAACCACCAGCGGCATCCCTGCATCCTGTCACATTCACCTGAACCAAAAAGCTGTATAAAAGACACTGCACTTAAGCACTTACAGTTTTTCTACCTTGATGAACCCCCTCCCGGACACTGGGGTGGGAGCTTTCTTCTAATTCTTCCCCACTAATAAATAAGCACTCAGTCATTCCCTGCTCCTTGCAGTTTTGTTGGCACCAATCTTCTTTGCCCCAATACAAGGACAGAGAACATGACACAGGGCAGGAAGTGGTTGTATGACCTTAGACAACAACCCAACAAATCTGATCTCAGTACTGTCAGCAGACAAGAAGGTGGATTTCTCTCAGAAGACAGATCTCTGGTTGTGAGGAAGTAGTGAAAGCTGAGGGAGCAACTGAGCAGCCCTGGCTAGGATGACCCCTTGGGTAGCACCCAAAGGCTCCTCAGCAGAAACTAGATCCCAATGGCCCAACACAGACCCTGTAGAAAGATACCCACTTGCCCACTGTCCTGACCTGCACTCCTCAGTGCGGTGAGGTAAAGTTCTCTCAGTGATCTCCCAGAGCGACCTGACACTGGTAAGAGTCTTCTCTTAAGCCTCACTGGCTTGGCCCTCTTTTACGCTAGTAGGATAGATCTCCTCTTGTGCTATGTCTTGAGTAGATTTGCTAAAGTGGCCTATGCATAGGCTTTCTTTGGATTGAGAGATGGTCCTAACTTCTGTGGGACTTGCTGTATAGATTCAGTCCTGCTACAAAAAGACAAAGCTTCAAATCTGGTTTTTAAAGAAGTGATAGTAAATAAATACCCCATCTCATAATCTATGGCTCTTTTTTGTGATAAGGTACATGCTATACAAAAATGTACTATATATCTAAAGTTTAGATATATAGTACTTGCTTTAAAAATAGCCCATGGTTCATAACTAATAGTATCAACACAATTGCTGTGCTAAAATGTATCTTGCTTGTGATTTCAAACTTCCTATAAAAACATTATACCAACTATCTACAACTATTTGATAAAATTTTGACTTCTAAGACAATCATGGTTGCTCTCACTTCAATACTGCTGCAACTGACTTCCTAGGTATTCAACAAAGGCTCTGAGACCAAAGCTAATTATGTAACTGCACTAAAAACAACCGTTTTGGTTCTGGTCTTACAAGGTCAGCAAGGATATGATACATGAGAGACCTCTTTGTAAGCATTTGCCTGGCAAAAGCAAAGTGGTGAGTTCAATCCCCAGTACCAAAAAAAAAAAAAAAAAAAAAAAAAAAAAAAGACCTCATGCTAGAGGGAGGATCATAAAGAGAAACATGTTTCCATTCTTTCAAGGAGAGTCCTGTGGTCTAGCACAGGCCATAACTCATCCTGGCAGATGACACTGGCAGAGGGGCTAAGAGGCTCTGCATGTGATTCCAAAAGTAACTCCTGTCGTGTCTTAATTGACCTTTATATATGCCATAGGGTAATTCTAATTAATATGGGTATCACTTAAACGCGGTCTTAAATACACAGTCAGAAAATAGAACCAAACCATGTAAAAATATTAATAATAATTCAGGGTAAATATACAAGGGGTTCCAGGTCCTATATGCTGGCCCCTACTGACAGTGTCCAACTATACCTATATCTTGTCACTATTATGGTTCAATACGGCTAAGAATCCACAATAATAGTTCCACAAATTCAGTAAGAATCTTTTTTAACTACCTAGCTAAGCTAACACAGGGCCTTCTATAGCCTTGCATCTGAAAACTTACATGCTTATATAAAACTTACTATCTTTAAATGGGCCACACCAAATAAAGAAGAAATGTTGCTTTTATGCCAGTCAGTTTGACACAACAAGAGATATAACGTAAAAACTAGCCAACTGTGCTTGCAAAGATCCACCAATATTGTCTAAGTCATAGAGATCATGGTCAGGGATCTAAAATTTGACATTCTGACTCCCCTAACAGGACCAACATTAGTGCTCCTTGTAGCCTTGATATTTAGACCATCTTTTCTCAACTGCTTAATCAAATTTGTTTCTTCTCCCTCAACAGCTTTAAAGATGCAAACAGTCTCTCCAACAAGCACTCTTCCTGGCTTGTATTCAGGACCTTTAGTTAGGATTCATAGTAGTGGGCTCTTTGGCTCCCAGCCATAGCCCCTCTCAGCAGAAGTAGTTTGCAAGACCGTTCACTGGCCACTGTACCCTAACCACAGTCAGTGTCACTAATGTTAAGGGTGGAAGCAAGCCAGGTAGAATTTAGAAAGAGAGGGCACTGGTCCTGAACAGTTAAAGAAAGGGAGGTGGGGCTGGCAACAAATAAATTAGCATAACAAAATAGACTACTGGGATCCAATGAAGTGGAAGAGACAAAGAATGGGTCTTTACCAAATGAGCCAGACCTTGAAAGAAATAAAATGCAAATACAACAGCTTGCTTTTCAGACATGGAAGGTCTACCTACACCCAGTAATATCCTGCTTTCTGTCAGGTATACCAGTCCGCAAAACTGTATAAAAACCCAAAAGACCTAAATACTTATGATGTCCAACTTAAGGAACATCTTTCTCCAATTAACAGAGATTTTTTTCTTTTATTGTTTCTAATACACATACATTTGGTCATTCCATATCACTTGCTGTTTTGTCAACTTCAATCTTATTTGCTCCAAAACAAGGATTCAAGGGCTAAATTCAATTATAGTATCTTCATCTTACACTGTAAATATTGCTAGTATCACTTAACTAGCAGATTGTTAAAAACAATGTGAGTTATACGCATCAAAATAGTTTGTCACAATTCATAACTGCTGAAAAAAATATGGTAACAGTGAAGTATTTGAATCTTACACAGAATTACAAAAGGAACACTTAAATTAAGGTCAAATATGTGTATCAGTTAGTAGCAATTTAAAAGTTAGTCTGTAATCTCAGTGCTTGGGAGGCTGAAGCAGAGGATCCTTGTGAGTTTGATGCCACCCTGGGCTACAAGGTGAGTTCAAAGCCAGCCTCAACTGTACAGTGAAACCCTGCTTCAAAAAGACCAAATAAATAAATAAAGTTAATGTGAAAAAAAAAAAGAGTACTTGTAGTATTTTCTCTATTTAACCAAAGATAGATCATAATGTACACTATATATAAATAAACCACAAAATGCACTAATATAAGGGGGAAAATTCTCTGAAGTAAGTTTCAATGTCCGTGAATATCTTACTTTAATACTTACCTGTAAAAATAAGTAACCGGGCAGTACATTGTCAAATGATGGGCTCAGATATATTGGTTCTGTCATTCTTATACCTATACCTCTGAAAAATAGGAAACCTAACATTAACCCACATCAATTACACAGCATCATTTCTCAAACATGTCAAGTATAAAATGATTTGCCTTTTTATAACTTTTACCTAACATGTAAATAATTAGAACAGTGCTGTGAATCAGTTTTGAATGTTGACCTCAAGGAGAGGCCAGAATTAAAAAGGATAAAATGGCAAAACTTTGACTTGCACAAGAGTTTCTTTAGAATTCTGGATAAATTAAAAAGTAAAGAATATCTGATTGCAGAATTGTCCTAATCTTTCCAGTAACCAACATATAACCACTGTTAATAACTTTCCAGTCAACAAACATTTCTTGACTATTGAGTTTATGAGGTACTATTCTAGGTACTTGTATAAAAGCTGAAAAAATTCCTAGAGTCCTGCTGGTGCTAAGCAGTGACAAGCACAGTACTACTCTCATCTTTTTATAGAGTAACTGTCCAGGGCAGACTTAATTGGAAGATGATCTTTTCTACGTCTGTCCCACTTCATGAGTGGCAGTGTTGCTGATAAACAAGGGAAGGGCCAGGCCATGGGGAGGCAGTGACGTGCACGGCAATCACAGAGGTGACCAGAGACCACTGAGGGCAGAGAGAGCATATACACATTGTTAGAGAAAGCCAACAACTTTATTTTTAAATGGCTGCTTTCTTCTCCCACCAACAAAGAAAACATTATTCACAGCCTGGCACCTCAGTGTAATTCCTATAAGCCCAGCGACTTGAGAAACTAATGCAGGAATGCAAGATTGAGGTCAGCCTGGGAAACCAAAGAGAGATTTTGCTCATAGTAAAATGCAAAGTGGCTGGGGATACAGTTCCATGGTAAAGCTCCTGCCTACCAATATTTAGGCCCTGGTTATAATTCCCAGTACTGAGAAAGAGAAAGACGGGGAGGGAAGAGGAGGGCAATAGAAAGAAGGAAGGAAAGGGAAGGGAAGGGGAGAAGACTACTCAGCAAAGTAACTGTAGCCAGGACATCAAGTAAGCAAATGAAAAGTATACCACTAATAATGACTAACAGACGCAATCAAAATACCAGTTCTTATTACAGATCCACACACAGCCAACAGCTACATAATCTTTATAGTCACAAAGCCTTCTAAGAACAAAATCAGTTCTTGGCTGTTTATAAAGTATTACTGTCACTGGGCTGGGTTTGAGGGTTCCTGAGGCTGAAAATAAGGAACTTAACTCATTTACTTTTTAAAAGTGATTCTGTAGATTTGTTGACTCCTGTCATAGAAAAAGAATTTTCAGGACTCATCAATAAAAGAGGCCAGAGAAGGTTTGATTAGAGCTAAGAGAATGCTTTCAAGAATGGAGTGTGGAAGGGGCTGGGGATTTAGCTCAGCGGCATAAGTGCCTGCCTTGCAAAAGTGTGGTCGTGAGTTTGATCCCTGGTACGGGTAAACATACAAGAGTGGAGTGCGGGTGCTCAGAAAAATGAGGCAGCTACCAGCTGGAGCAGGGCACATTTAAAGGCTGCCTTCAAGACGGTGATCCAGGGCATGTATTCCCAGTCTGCTGGGTTACAGGGCCCGCCATCCTCTGTGGCACATGAACTGAAGTGGAGATTTGCTGTTTGGAGTTAGGACATACTGTCTCCAAAGCAGCTGCTTTTTGGGTTGGAGGACAGGGCGATTTGCAGAAGTACCTAGTGTCTGGGGACAGGTTATTATAAAGGGCCTTTAGAAATTTAACATTAAATTAGGATGGAAGGAGGGTGACATAAACTAGAGTGGCCTCCAGAAGCAGGAAAACAGCTTGTCTGGAAGCCACAGTTTTTCTTAAAAGTAGAATTTTAAAATCTCAACTTCCCAGTCTCCTTTCTACTTAGTTTTATTTCTTCTATCCTAATCTCATTGCTCTCCATTCAATGTTCTGTTTCTTTAGAAGAATTAATTTGAAACATACAGAAAAACCTCTGCAACATGGGAAAGTGACCAGGGTTCTAGTCCAGTTCTGGACAGACAAATTGACATGGTTTTGTAGGTTGTTAACCCTGGAGCACTGGTGCTGTCTACAGCATTCCTAACACAAGTAAAATATGAACCTAGTTTATCTATGAATTTATTCAGAGCCACAAGTGGCTAGAGGTAATTTAGAAGTAATTGTATCTTTATTTTGGATTGAATAAATCCAAACATTATGAGTGTTGGTTTTCTGGTACAAATATTTTTAATTTACATTAAAATTATAAATTACATTAAAATTATAAATTTTTCTGACTAAAATGTTAAACAGATCTAGATGAGTCATCTAATTCATTTTCTATCAAGATAAGCTTCAATGTTCTTCAAAGACATAAAAATTTTCAAATCATTAAAATTCAAAAGGACAAGTAAAATCATTTAATAATTACATTATGACTAGTCTTAATTGGACTTTTAGTCTCATCTTTCACCCTTTTTAAAATAGTAAGATTTTTTCCAAAAATCATGGAACTATGGATAAAATATTTTCCTATTGAATTAACATTAAAGACGTATTCATACAATGCAACCAGATAATGTTTACATTATTTTTAATAATCTTGATACATAGAAAGCATGTTTGTTTCTCCCATAACACCCAGTGACTTACTTCAGTTCGCATAGGCCACTGAAGATTTCTTTGCGGCTTCGTGCAGAAATTCCATTTCCAAGAAACACTTTTGTTCCATCAAACTCTCTGGCTCCTTTCTTACATTTCCCTTTAATATCGGAGTACACAGAAATAACATCTCCAGCTTTCATAACTAAGGAAAGGAGAAAATCATGTTACAGTGATCTGCTCTTTGGCAGGATAGTAGTCTCTAAGTAGAATGGGAATCTCTAAGAACATCAATAGTGGATGAGCACGTCAGGCTTGCTCATTAATCTATGAGCAAAAACACATTACAGAAAACTTTACATGCATACCTAATTTGTTCATCCTTATCAGATTAAGTCCTTATTGGTGATATTAAATGCAAAGCTTGGAAAATACCTTTTCAAAAACTGAAAAGCATCTCAGTAAAATAAAATGAACTTCCTATTCAATAATACACGAGAATTTTAGAGAACCATTTACCTTACAGTACTTACAGCTCGAAGCTGACACAATTCCTGGAACATACACGTGGGCTCCTCGCAACACTGCATTGCCACACTGCGCCCCCACAACAGCTTCACACTGCTGCTTTTTTATGTTCTTTCTAGTTAAGAAAAGAGAAATTATTTAACAAAGTAAGAGTCTTCCTTTGGCTATAAACTTTTTCAAAGTTTCAAAATAAACTCTATAAAAATATTATTAGTCTGAATTGTCATGAATAAATAAGGAAAAGAAAGCTGAAAAAAAAGGGGGTGTAGAAGAATAGTTATAAAAGGGGAGGAAAGAAGGGAGAATGGGCACTTGAAAGAAGAAAACTTCCAAAGAGGTCCATCTGGGGGAAGGCAGGCGAGTGGCACAAGAAATTGGTTAATCACTGAACAAGCATTACTTGTCCTAGAATAGCATAGGAGGAAAATGACCTTCTGTTGCTTTCAAAGACTAAAAGAGTACAATACACAAGGTATTAAAAATATTGCTATAGTGATAAATTGTTACATGATAAATTATGAATCAACTGTGTTCCATTTTCTTTCACGATGTCCAATTATCAAATCTCAATCAACTTCACAACTTTATGGTATGCAGGACGTTCCTGGGCCCATCCATTCACACTGCTGCTTTTCTGTCTTTCTTTTTTTTTTTTTTAAGACAGTAGGGACCAGGACTTTGGCACTAAACCACACCCACAGCCATTTTAAATTTTTTATTCTGCTACAGGATCTCGCTCATTTGTGCAGGTGGTCTTGTGACCTTGTCTCAACCTCCATCAGGGTTGGGACTGTAAGCATGTACTGCTGTGGCTCTTTGCCTACTTCTTCAAGATGCAAAATAGGCCATTGAAAATTTCTTTGTGGCTTAGTGCCTACAATCCTCCAAGTTCTAAAACATGTCACTGTCTTTCCTCACTTTGTACTACTTTACCTCTAAGCAATCCACAATTTCAATAACCATTTAAAATATAACTCATGGAGCTGGCATGTGCCACACGCCTCCCAGCTACTCTGGAGGATGAAGCAAGAGGATCACCTGAACCTGCAAGTTTGAGTAGCATTAAAAAAAAAAAAAAGCACAAAGTCTATGTTTAGTCTTCTAAACTCTAGACTAGCATTTCTAGCTACTCGCAAGTAGCTACACATCGATGCTCCACCGTTACTTGACAAGTCTGAAACAGTATTCACTTTTTCTCTTTCAAATCCTTGGAATGACCCTAAAACTTTTCATTGTATATTTCCAATTGTTTTCCTTCCTTCCTTTCTTACTTTCTTTCTTTTTGGTAGGAGGAATCGAACTTAGAATCTCACACTTGCCACACAAGCACTTGTGCCGCTGACCTATATCTCTGGCCTAATTCTTTTTTATTTTTATTTTAAAGAGATTAAGACAAAACAGGAAATAACAGAGCAGATCAGAACAGAACAATGTAAGCAAAACAGTATTTCATCAGAAGACAACCCGTAATTAACAGTAACTACCACGATGTTTCTTTGAAATAGTTGAGTAAAACTTCATATACAATAGTATCAAACATAACAAAATAGTATAAAAACATTCAAGAGAATGAGAGTATTACAGGGTTTTCAGAACCAAATAACAGAAAACAAACAATGGCTACTATATTATCTCATTTTCCATAGGAAATTTGTTTATACTTTCACACGTAATATAATCCAATAAAGTGCAACATGATAGAGCCAATGGAAACACAAGAGCAAGAGCATGGTAGGACTTCAGAGTAAGATGATATTATATCAGTACTGGCTATTATAATGGCTTGTTTCGGGGGCTGGGGATTTAGCTTAGTGGCATAAGCACCTGCCTTGCAAGCAGGCAGTCATGAGTTCGATCCCTGGTACCGATAAAAACGAAAAAGACAAAAACAAAACAAAACAAAATAATGGCTTGTTTCTCTCAAACTAGCTGTTCATACCATCGCAGATAATAAAATCAAAAACCAGGACAAATGCACTACCAACTGCAATTATTATAAGGCTTCAAAACAATGCAATGGGGAGTCATGATTACCCTAAATTCTTATGTACTCTTAGTATTTCTTACACTAAAGAGACTACAGTATTTATACACGAGTTTGACTTATTTCCCTTATGAGTATGGTCTCAAGTTGCCCCTATTTATTAGTAAATATCTCAATGTGATCATTCTTAATAGCTGAGTAGTACTCTATTGTACAGAAATACCACATCTTTTTTATCCATTCCTCAGTTGATGGACATTTAGGTTGTTTCTAAGATCTGGCTAATTACAAATTGTGCTGCTATAAACATGGGTGCACATATATTACTGTGGTATGATGCTTTTAGTTCTTCTGGGAATATGCCCAGAAGTGAAATAGCTGGGTCAAATGGGACTTCCAATCCCAGATTTATGAAGAATCTCCAGACTGACCTCCATAGTGGTTGCACCAGTCTGCACTCCCACCAACAGTGCAGGAGAGTTCCTTTTTCCCCACAGCCTCTCCAGCATTTGTTGGTAGTTTTCTTGATCTTGGCCATTCTTTCAGAAGTAGATGGAATCTCAGTGTTGTTTAAATTTGCATTTCTCTAATGACTAACGATGAACCTTTTTTCATGTATTTGCCATTTGTATTTCTTCATCTGAGAACTGTGTATTCATCTCAGATGCCCACTTTTGGACTGGGAGTTTCGGGGATTTGATTTTTTTTAAATTTTTATGTGTTTTAGACAGAAGTGCTTTGTCTGAGGGACAGTTCACTAAGATTTTTTCCCAGTTTGTGGGTTTTCTTTTCACTATGCTGGAGATTTCTTTTGACATGCAGAAACTTTTTATGCAGAAACTTTTTAATAAGATGTGATCCCAGTTACTGATTCTGGGAAGTAGTTCCTGTACGGTTTGATTCCTGTTCATGAATTCTCTACCTACCCCTATGTCTTTAAGATGTTTACCTACTTTGTCTTCCAAAAGATTTAGTGTTTCTGTTTTAATATTCAGATCTTTGGCCCATTTAGATTTTAGTTCAGAATATGGTGATAGGCATGGGTCTAGTTTTAATTTTTGGCATATGGAGAGCCAGTTTTTCCAGCACCATTTATAAAAGAGACTGTTGTTTTTCCAGTGAACATGTTTGGCCCCTTTATCAAAGATAAAGTGGTTGAATAGGTTGGTAGTTGTGGTTGTAACTTCTATTCCATTGATCTTCAGATCTATTTTGATTCCAGTACCATGTTGATTTTATTATAGTAGCTTTGTAGTATAATTTCAAGTCAGGGATTTTGATGCCTCCTGCCTTGCCTTTGCTGCTTATAGTTGCCTTCACTATTCTACGTCTCTTCTGGTGAAAGATGAATTTTAGGAATGATTTCTCTAGGTCTTTGAGGTATGTTGATGGTATTTTCACTGGGATTGCATTGAATCTGTGTAACAGTTTTGGGAGAATGGCCATTTTCACAATATTTATTCTCCCTGTCCATGAACAAGGGATGTCCTTCCATTTTCTGAGATTTTCTTTGATTTCTTTTTTTCAGGGTATTTTAGTTTTCCCTGTATAGATCTTTTATTTCTTTCGTGAGATTAATTCCTAAGTATTTCATTTTTTTGGATGCTAGTGTGAAGGGTGTGGCTTCTCTTATTTCTCTCTCCGTAATTTTGTTGTTAGTGTATAGAAACGCTGTTGACTTCTGAGCACTGATTTTGTATCCAGCTACACTGCTTAATTTATTATATCTAGGAGTCTTTCAATGGAGTTTTGGGGGTCTTCTATGTAGAGTATCATGTCATCTGCAAATAATGATAATTTAACTTCCTCTTTTCCTATTTTTACCCCTTTTATTTCTCTCTCTTGTCTAATTGCTCTGGCTAGTATTTCCAGTACTATATTGAATAGGAGCAGTGATAAGCAATGTGCCTGATTTTAAGGTAAAGTCCGGCCTAATTCTTAATAAGGCAGTATTATCTACTGAGACAGCAAATAAGAAGTCTTAGAGCTATGGTCTAATGGTATCTGCCAAAATGCATGGATTGGAAACTTAATCCCCCATGCAACAATAATGGGATGTTGCTTTTAGGAGGTATTTAGGGGAGAAAATTATTTTTACATTTTTAATCATTTAAGAAAACTGATTTATGGCCACTACCAGAGAGCTCACAATGAATTAATGCTGCTACAAAAAGGGCTTTCAGAAATGTGTGCCCTCCTTCTTGACTTTATATGCTCCACCACTGGAGGACACAGCAAGAAAGCTGTCACCAGTGCCTATACCTTGATGCTGGGCTTTTTCACCACCAAAACTATGCAGAATTTCTTCTTTATAAATTAGTCTCAGGGATACTTTTAGAGAAGCGAAAAGCGAGAATGATACCCAGCACAATCTTCAAGCCCTAATTCCTAAAAGTAGACACTCCATGAGTCACTAGGCCATGCTTTCCCCTTCTGACAGCCTCCTGGGCCCATTCTCTGACATCAGACTTGCATCATCTCTTAATCAATTACAAAGCACACTTTGTTCCTTTTACCTTGATTGGTTTCCAGATTTTCCTTCCACCTCTAGTGTTCTGCAGCTTCACTCTGAAGTATCACTATATGGATTGTTTTGCTTTGAGACCTGTAGTTCTAACATTAGTAGTTCTAACAATCCTGGAAAATACTTAATCATCACATTGTTTTACTACTGTTTTCCCTCCAATATTTGTATTCTATAAGTGGCACTCATTAGAAATGTGAAGAAACTTCTTTCCACTATGTGATTTTTATTTTTGTATTTTTTTCTCTGCTGCATTCTAAATAATTTCCTGGGTTATCAACAAATTCAGTAACTATAATTTGGGTCTAGTTTAACTTGTGGAATATTTTTAATTTTAATGCCTTTTTTATTTCCATAAATTCTGTATCAGTTCTACCTTTTCTCCTCTCAGGTCTTTAATCATTTAAGAAAACTGATGTATGGCTACTACCAGAGAGCTCTATTTGTTTATGTTTTGGGAGAAATCTACCTCTGTAATTTATTGTACATGCTGATTTTCACTCTTGGTGATTTGATTTCTCTTAACAAATGAGAAAGTGTGTAGCTTGGATTCAAAGTGCATAGTGACAAATGTTTGTACTTGGGAACCTGAAGCAAGTGGACTTCA